TTCCTCTTGATTTGTTTCAAACTGATTTGACAGTCATCTTCAACCCATTCTATGATTTGATCAATTTGTTCCTCAGAAAGTATTTTTGGCTTCTTTCCTCCTTTCAACTTTGGCGTTTCTTCTCCAGACCTGACCCATTCATAAGCGGTTTTATAGTTTACATTCAGTTGATTACAAAGTGCCACCCAATCCTCTCCCCTGTTAGCACAGCTAACAATCCTCTTCCTATCCTCTTCACAGTTTTTTTTGTAAACCTTTCTTATCACATTTTCTGTCTCTTCGATTTCCTGTCGGCAAACGTGACATTGTTCCATCTCTGCGATTGCTAGTTGATTTCTATAGCACTTTTCATGTAATAAGTGCCTACATGGAATAAGTCTTATCACTTGCTTTCTTAACATTGAATGAATGCAAATGCCACAATTATCTTTAAGCTCCATTTTTTGTAGTAGAATTCTTAAACAATTTTTAAAAAACCCTACGAAGAAATTACAAAGTAAACAAAATTAAATTATTACAGTGTTAAAAAGATATTGCTCAAAGCATAGCCTAGCACTGGTACACAGATCAACAATGTATTATTTGTTTATGTTTATTTCATACAATCAAGTGTTCTGTAGTAACAAAACACAGTACATCAGATGTACATAGTTGGTTGAAAACAGTAGTGCCAACCGTTGAAAATTATTTTATTTTATTTCTGAAATTCAATTGCTATATTCTGAAATTCAATTGACATTTTCTGAAATACAATTGATATATTCTGAAATACAAATGACCACTTCTGAAATACAAATGACCATTCTGAAATACAATTGACCACTTCTGAAATACAATTGACTATTCTGAAATACAATTGATCGATTCTGAAATACAAATGACTATTCTGAAATAAAAGTGATACTTTCTGAAATACAATTGGAAAAGGTGTAGAGTTTCTGGATCCCTCAAAAGGGATCCCATATTGTTGTCATATTGTGAGCCCCGGCTTTGGCACTTTTCACATTTTTGGGAAGGATTAGTTTGTCGCTGGGAATATCATCCCATTCAGTCTGAAATACAAAAAAAAAATATTTGAAAATATTTTAAAAATATTTATAGTTTAATAAGAAAAAAACAAGATGATGACTATTTTTTGTCTTTACCCTTTACCAAACTAAAATAATAGTGATAGCTAAGCATTAAGCACATTATCTTCTTTAGATTCAGTGTGTTTCCTGAGCCGTATGTTTTAGTGCAGTTGAAAACTAGAATAAAATTTAAATGTAGGCTATACCTACTTTCTGGATTTATCTACAAGCGTATTTGTAAGAATATCTCTATGAAGATAATGTGCTTACCTAATTAATTTTATGCATACAGCATCTTGTAAAGTCCTAAAAATAGTAATAATCTGATTATTCACGATTGGCGATGATATGAGGGTAATCAGGATGGCTTGATAAATTTGTATTTAAATTAACCTAAATGTTTTGGCTAGGATTATTTTTAACATTCCTTTAAAATAGACAAAAAATATTAGGCTTTTAATGAGATTAAAATTGTTATCAAATACAGATCAGAAAAGTAAATACATAAGCCCTTACTCACAGTTATGCGATGTCCTTTTCATCAATTCTCGAATCCGTTTCTGGGACGAAAATTGTCTTTTTCGATGAGGACGACGGTCGTTTTGGTGAGGTTATTAATGAGGATAAGTGGAGGCTTATCTCTCGGCAACAGAAGGTGGATTCTTATCGTTTCATGGGTAGGCTTATTTTCTTTTGGTTTTAAAATTTTCTGACGAAAATATCCACTTTTTGGAATTGTGGGCTTCTTTCGATTATTTCATCTAACGTCAATTCCTATGGCTAATTACTACGAATCTCGTCATTTTTGTCATTAGCCTTATCAAGCTGTTGCAAGATTTGTAGCCTAATGAAACATCTTACGACGTTGTCTTGGTTAAAACTAGCTATGGCATCATGAACCCCCATAACTAGTGTGGATTTGAGAACAAAATGTTGATTTCGGGATTCGCGACCAAATAATATTATTGACGGGCTCATTTTGATTTTGTGTACCGCCATGTAAGCCTTTCTTCAACAGATCTGGCGAGGCAATAGGCTTTATTAAATCCATAATTACCTTAGGGAGGTGAAAGTGATCTTCGTGGGTATATATCTCTGTTCGCCTTCGCTCTTTGGTACTTGCACCAGCTCTCCGCACCCTTAGGACGATATTAATGCAGATGGTTTTCATCTGAAGAGAGGATATGGAAATATACAGCCCAAACTGCCTTCTTCATGTCATCTAGGCTTGTAGTATTCCTACGAATGGCTAACCCATAATAGTTTTGAATGTCCATGATGGCACTGTCTGCCCATGCAGCACAAATATGTATGTAATACATATTTTATACTTTCATCCAAAGTATATAACTTATATAAAGTATATCAAAGTAAATAATACGTATTATATCTGTCAATATGTCCGCCCTTTATATGGATATAATACATATTTACAATGTATAAAAATATATGTAATGGCTATTTACATTACAACTGTAGTAAGAGCGTTTTTACATCACGCAGGTGAATGTTGTGCAACGAGCGGAAGCGAGTTGCATAATTCACCTAAGAGATGTAAACAAGCTCTTGCGCAACGTGTAACGTACAAGATTTTACCTGACCCGACAATATACATGGGTTTACGTACAATATTTTTCATTATCCATTTCACTCGTCGTCTAACAGTAACGTTCTTTTACAAACAAAAGCTAGGTTAGGAAAATACTTTAAAGCATAACAATAACATTCAAGCGCACAGCTGATTTCTAACGTTGAACGTCGATGCCTCCATAGAGGTATAATTTTTTAAGTTAAGCACTCAATGTTATCTAAATGGGTTTCATTACATCACCGAGTGAGTTTTTTTCAACTTTACATCATTCGAGAAGTAAGGAAGTTGTATACATCACGGGATAGGGAAGTTTAACAAGGCGGGTTAGGTAAATATATGTATTTTATACCAACTTTGAATCTATAATTATAGATTAATAGTAGTAACAAATAATAATAGATTTGTAGTAACATTTAGACTTATCTAAATTTATATACATGAAAAAATACTTGTGCAATAAAAAATTTTTAGAAAATGCATAAAAATGCTTGTTCAGATGTAATCACAAGTAATACATTCAAGTCTAATAAGTTGTTTTTATAGGTAACATTTTTTTCTGTTGTTTATTAACATACTTTCTAAAGGAACGTATAAATGAAACAACTATGAACAGTCAAGAAATAACTATTTAATTGTTCATCTGCAGGCCTACATTTTTATTTTTCACGTAGATTCTTGTCTCTGCTTGGCGGAACCATTCACTCGTTTTTTTTTCGAAAGTTTTCAAATCGAATGTTGTCGGGTGGTTTTGACGAACTACACCTGAAACAAATTCACACTTGTGTCAATGTCTGTATTTCTGTGTATATAAGCAGGTAATATTAGGGCACGTGCAAGATTCGTGCTTATATGAACATATCTTTTGGTTATACAAGTTTTTTTATTCAAAAGAATGTTTTAATTTCAACAAGGATGGAAAATTGTTAGTTTACAAATCTGTTTGTAATTAATTAAGATTATAGGACCTTAATGTATAATAAATACTGTAGGAATATGGGAATTTGACTACACAGCTAATGGGTGAATCTTGGTTTATATACAGATTAGATAACTAAAGCAAAAGCAATGCAATGACAAGTATTTGGGCCCAGGATTTAGAAAAAGAATCGTTTAAGATTCCACTAGCCTAATTCTTTAGCACAACAAAATCAACGGGTGAATTATATTTTATACACAGTTGATTGTGTGTACAATTCTTGCTACATTTGTAGCATCAACTTTTTTTTCCTTAATTGAGAGGTGAAAAAAATGAACAAGCCTGAAATGCACAAAGATAATGAGTACTCACCAATTCTTTTACTTTATCCTCATTAGTGGCCAACATGTTCTCTAGCTCCAGAAAAGTGTCAAACTCGGTCATAGGAAATTTCCTTTGAAATTCCTCAAAGTCCTCATACACAATCAAGAAAACAGAAGAGTTATTGAACAGCCTACGAAACTCAAAATATTTTTGTAGGTTGGATTTATACAAGGCATATCTACACATTTTAGTTGATGATCAATCCAGTGAAATACAAACAATAACAACCCACCGAGGAACGTACAGAATGAATAGACTATCTTTCGGCATAAAAACAGCACCTGCAGAATTCAACCGCATCATCCATCAAATTCTTCGAGACATCCGCAAGACTGAATTTTACTTTGATGACATCATAGTACATGGGTCAACAATGGAAGAATGCAGATCCAACCTGTATGCTTGCCTCAAACAACTTCAGAAATATGACCTTCACCTCAATCGTCAAAAGTGCTCATTCTTTAAACAACGCATCGAATTCCTTGGTCATGTTGTTGAACACAACAGGATTCTAAAATCACCAGAGAAGATCAACGCTATTATCAAAATGAAACAGCCCACATCCATCGAAGGAGTTAGAAGATTCTTAGGAATGGTAACATACTATTCACGGTTCATTCCTAATCTCTCAACCCTCACTGCGCCACTGCGACAACTTCTAGTAAAAAAATGTTAAGTTCTACTGGAACAGAAAATGCACTGAAGCTTTTGATCGACTCAAGAAAGAAATTGCCAGTAAACGAGTTTTAACACCATTTTATCCAGCTTTACCTGTTCAACTTGCCTGTGATGCCAGTCCTCAAGGTGTTGCAGGAATACTCTCTCACATCGACCCTTCAGGAGTTGAACGTCCTATTGCTTTCGGGTCCAGATCTCTGACAAAAGCTGAGCAAAACTACTCACAACTAGACCGTGAAGCTTTGGCTTTAATCTTCATTGTGGGTATTTTCATCAATACCTGTTTGCAAGACCCTTCAAGCTAATAACTGACAATCGACCCCTTGTAAGAATCTTTCATCAGAACGCGAAGATACCTTAAATGACTTCAGCAAGACTGCAGAGATACGCTGCATTTTTGTCAGGCTACAACTACGAAGTAATCTTCAAGAAAGGAACAGACAACTGTAATGTAGTCTGTCTATCAAGAGCTCCAATCGAATCATCATCACACGCAGAAAGATCAATCAACGCAGAAGTAAATCAAATATGTGAATCATCAATTGAAGTAATTTCAACACTTAATCTCACACATGAAACAATCCAAGAGGAAACCAGAAATGATCCAAATTTGTCAAAATTACTGAAAGAACTGCGTCAGAATCAATCAGAAGACTCAGAATTTACCATTTCCGATGACATCATCTTCCGCGGTTCTCGAGTTGTTATACCAGCAAGTCTTCAAGACTCCGTCCTTCAAGAACTTCACGACACACACATCGGATCGACAAAGATGAAACAACTTGCCCGCCGTTATGTGTATTGGAGATCCATCGACAAAGACATCGAAAGAGTTGTACGAGCATGTCCAGCATGTGCTTCTACCAGACATAGTCCACCCAAAGCTCCCTTACACCCTTTGAAGGAACCTGAAGGTAACTGGCAGAGAGTACACATTGACTATGCTGGTCCCTTCCAGAACCACCACTTCCTAGTCATTGTGGATGCCAAATCTAATTAGGCTGAAGTAGAAGTATGTTCATCTGCTCCAACTTCATCATCAACCATAGAGATGTTTCAGAATGTATTCTCACGCTATGGCTTCCCAGACGTAATGGTATCGGACAACGCTGCGATTTTTACTAGCGACACATTTCACCAGTTCTGCAAAGAAGGAGGAATTTTTCAGAAATTCACAGCACCGGGACATCCAGCGACCAACGGGTTGGCTGAAAGAAACATTCAGACCCTCAAAAATCGACTTTTTACCATGATTGAAGAACCTTTCACAATGAAACAAAAGGTTAGGGAAATACTCTTCAGATATCGAGCTACACCCTTGGCCAGCGGGAAGACACCTTCAGAACCTTTTCTCAACAGACAAATTAGAATCAAACTTGATGCGTTAAAACCACCAAAACATCAAAAATCCTCAATTCAACACACCAAAGCAAGACAGTACAAAGTAGGAGACAGAGTCCAAGCACGGTACTACTCGAACAACAAAAATCTGTGGAAACCAGGAACCATCATAGAGAAGTACGGACTCTTACACTACCTGATTAGACTAGACAGTGGATATATATTTAAAAGACACATCGACCAACTACGACTTACTGAAATACCATCAAAGACTGTCAAATTTGCTCCCACAGTGCAATAAGCTACTTCGGAAGAACCAGGACCACATCATCCATTTGAAGACCTCATCACCATCCCTACTGAACACCACCGCCACAAATCAATGAACAACCTCAACATGAGACAGGAAACGAAAGTCCAGTGCTGCGCAGATCAACAGAACACATCGCCAGCCTGAATATTTGAAAGACTTTGTCAGGTCTTAATTTTGTTGTTGTTGTTTTTTTTTTCTTCAATTATGCCAGTTTCAAAACAAAATTATCTTTTCTAATAAGCCTGGGAGAATTATAGTATATCAACTACATGTTTCATAATTATTCAATCAATGTTCTATGTTGGCAATAAGTAAATATAAATCATATGTTATTATTAATAATTAAAGTGTAAATAAGTTATCAACAAACATTAGAAATTTTTTGTATCAATAAATCTGTCTAAATGAAGCAACCTTTTCAATTATTAAAATTAACTAATACGCGTGCATAAACAAGGCCACGACGTGCATAAATAACATGGCCTGCTGCATGTCGTGGTGTTAATTCTTTTCTTATAAAAAATATTAAATTAAGCTAATCGAGCAACTATATGCATTACGTTCGTGTTTTTAAACATCAGACTTGTTTTGACAGCTAGTTAGTTGTTTTTTTGTTTTTATTAGAGCTGATGTTATTTTTTTTTTTTTATACAATGTTTTCAATGGACTACATTTGTATTTAATGATTGAGTTGCTTATCAAGCTTATCTGGGTCAATTTACCAACTGAAATCCTTGAAAGGCACTTAAATACTTCCTTTTAAAACAACATATAAAACATCGAAAATGATTTACATATATTATTTAAATCGGTTTACAGACATGGCTGGAGCTATATACGAATCTCGAAGCTCAGCCATGGAGGACCAATAATCTCTCTATGATGGCAGTTACTTTATTCCCATGAGAATATTAATTCCAAGAAAGACTTTCATTTCTCTTTTGTCCGTTGTGTTTCTAAGAACACCACTCTCATTTTGCATTGGATAAATGCCGGTTTGATATACTATTAGTTTAACTAACTCATCAGCAAAGAGAGTGGAAAATGAATCAATGGTATTTTTTGTTTCTACCTGACCTGTAAGTTCATGAAAATCATGTTGTATATTTGTCTCAAAATAATACTCTTCCCACTCAACTGTTTTTTCATAAATCCTTGTAGCAAGGGGTTCGTCGTTTCCAACATAACCATCAGCAACAACGTCTTGTTGAATAGGTCTTTATTATCAGGCCCTTTTTCTGGTTCGGGTGGTACTCCATTTATTTGAGCTTCATCAGATGAAACTTCTACCAAAAAAGAGGTTCTTCTTGTATTTCCATTTCTAAATTATCATGAATTTCCACTGGTGCCCAGGGAAGGAACTATCCTGGGCTAGATCCAAGAAATCAATGTTTTGAAGCAAAACACCATTTTCTGATACAACATAGTTACCCTCAATGTTGTTGTGTAAGCCGGCCACATCTCTTCATTCTATGATTCTGGACCGGAAGGTATGTCGGCTGTTTCTGCGAACCAAACCTCTATCTCCTGGTAGTTTTTTCGAAGCCTAGTTGTTCCGTAAGTTCTAAAAAAGGCTTTTCTAATGTAGCGGTATTTTCTACTAATTTTGGCCTGCATGTTCTCCAAGTAACTTTAAGAGTTTTCCTTATTTTGATTGCAGCGGAGGAAATCGTTCCAATATTTTGTTAGCATATTTCCTTGTGTCACTTAGCGTCGAAGACCTATGCCTTTCATATGTCTCACAACCTTCTTAATAGAGACTTTTGAGTAAGTATCCCAAGAGATAAGTATTTTAATTACATGGAACGTCTCCGCATCATTGAAAATTATGTTTTTGAATTCCGAATCGCAGTTATGTCAAAGGTGCGTGATGTTTTTTGGTGGAATAGCATGGAATAAGTGCTGTTCCATTGAAAATAATTGTATTGCCAAATCCTTAAAATTGTGGTTGGTCGACGGTTTCCTCGAGGATTTTTAGTAGCTGAGATTTCTGACACTATCTAAAAATATCTATTAAAGAAAGCGATGGTGGTTTACTGGTATTTTTGTGTTAAAAAAGGTCTTCCAAATCCAACCGCCTGTTTTGACTTACAATAAAAGCCCCAGAGACAAGCTCAACATTAGAATGTTTAAGTAAGCAATTAGTGGGTATAAACTCTTTTTTTCGAGCAAAGCCAAAAAACTTGGTCAATCTTTTTAAAGGAGCATCCACGCTTAGTTTTGCGTCATTGCTCAGACCTTTTTCCACGTAATTGTTGAACAATGGTAAGGCTTTTTCTTCAGCACCATCCAAACCTTTTAATCGGTCTCTATCCATCATAACCTTTGTACCCCATACTACAAAATCATTTGAGTTTTCCTTAAAGGGATTTCCGAAACGAACTCAAGTAAAACTTCAATTAAGCTTTTTCTTCGTGAAACCTCTTCTGGTAAGCAATACATTGTTCGTGGTGACCAGCCATGTTAGCTCTCACCTTTAATCCACTCTTCAAATTAAATGTCTGGGTATTCTTATGTAAATAGTTCATGCAGCCCACTACATAAAACCGCATCAGTCTTCTTATGAATTGCTCTTGCCCTTGTAACGTAAGTAACTTTAAGACACTCTTCCGCTCTTGCCTCTGTCTTAATTCCAGAGTTTGTCACAAAATTAGTCCAGCTGCCTGCTCAATATGAAAGGCTCAAAACATGGTTACAAACATAGAGTAATCGTAGTTACACTGGATGGACTTAGGTAGTAAACCTCTACCTAGATCTACTCCATTTTTAACATAAAAATATTTTATCTCAGGGTCACTTCTTTTATGAGTAATTAATAATTAATTAATTATTCATGTCTGCTAGTTAGTTGAGCGCCATTTTGTAACAGTTCTGCTTAAATTGTTATTATTTTAATAATATTAGTTTACTTGGGCTGAACCTACTCTTTTACTTTTACTTTAAATAAACATATTTGTGGTTTTTTTTTTAATTTTTTTATATTTTTGTTTTATTTCAGAGCATGGTAAAACAATTATATGGAATTTATAAAAACTACTTTATTTAATGAATTTAGAAATTAAATCACAACATAAATGTTGTGTTAAATAAATGTTCCTACGGAATGAGATTTCCGTAGGAGATACTATAAGTAGTATATTTAGTTACTATAAGTAACTGTTATATTTTAAAGCCATTAATTATCACCCAAAAAGCGATAATAAAAGCAGCCTTAGGCAGGAGTCGGCGCTACCCTTCGGATGCTCTCTTCAATGAAATGAACGTTCTTGACATCAGACAATTATTTATTCGAACCATGACTATTTACATATTCAAACACTCGAATGACATTTTTGAAAGAGTAACACACGAATACAGAACCAGACATGCACTAGGTGGAGGAATTTATTTACCGAGACTAAATAGAACCTACTCTACAACAAATTGCTACTATGTTGCTCACACTATCTACAACAATCTGCCCTACAACTTACGCGAAAACTATTTTGGACCACTGGTCAAATACAAAAAACAAATTACCCTATGGCTACAAAGCATTGGGAGATCAACTGCTCAAAATTTACTGATCTCAACCTACAGACAATGAACAACCTACAGGCAACAAATTTACACTCACATCAGCTGATAGAGTGAAAGAACGATTGTATGCAAGCACGTATGTGAGCGGTTCCCGATTCTGCGCCACAGGGACAGAGCATTGACGGCCCTACTAGTAAGGCTACCAGCCGCCTGTTGGTGTCGGAGTGAGTGCAGCAGTGTGAGTGTGCGTGTGCGTGTGTGTGTGTGTGTGTGTGTGAGTTTGTATGGGTGCATGAACGAGGTCCTGATGCCAGCCATACAAGCACGAACGAGGTCTCACCACACAAACGAGGTCTCGCACTCGGGACCTCGGTTTTATCTGGCATGATTTTCGTTAAATATGGACCTAAAATATGTATATTTCGATGTTTTTTTCCAAATCGGGAAGGGACCTCAATAGTGACAATTTGACTACAGAGTGTGTCGGAGTGCTTGTGGTAGTTCAGAGTGCGCCGTCCAGATCGCTCTGAAACTCGCGCAAGCACTCATTTTACAGCTACGCTAATGAATGTCATTACCGAGGTCCTGCGACCGTGCACGGCGAGACTAGCGACTCTGCTGCGATAGAGGCATATCCGTCCGTCATATAAGTTATTATTCCTATGTTAACTGGTTTATCTTCTTTTTTATGAATATAATGCGGCTTCATTGGCGACGAATATTGCAAATGACAAAGCAATGCTGCATTTCCAAAAAGCAAATACAGTAAATTGTTAGGCTACGTAATCCGTTAATAGTGACATTTACATGCATTGTTGTTAATCAACGTATCTTAGGGGGAATGAGGATATCTAGTTCAAATGGAACACGAACTTCATAACACCTTTATGGCACGTTATGAAGTACTTTTTGGGCATAACCGCCACTTGGTGTACATCCCCAAAATGGTGGATTTCGGGGGAAACTCAAAAATTTTAAATTATAAGCCCCATCGAGTGACCCCTAATTTTGAAGGTCCTGGTAAAAGAAAACTAACAACGCAAAGTAGAGGTTTCTATCTCAATACAGGAATCAGAAAAAACTTAAATAAAACATACTGAAATAACTGAAATAACAATTTTATATTCAATTGGCTGCCATATTTTACTGTGTTTAGATAGAGACCTCTAATTTGCGTTTTTAGTTTTATTTTATTATGACCTTCAAAATGGTCACTCGATGTGGCTTAACATTTAAAAATTTTGAGTTTCCCCTAAAATCCCCCATTTTGGGTTTGGGAACCAAGTGGCTATTAGGCTTAAAAAGTACTTCATAACATGCCAAAAAGTTGTGTAGAGTTTAGTTTTCCCATTGTGAGCCGTTACAAACTTTACAGGGGGTCTCCAGACTTGGAAAGCTGTAAGTTAAATTTAATTTTTTGATAATTTGAATTGGCTGTAATTTTTTACTGGATTAAATAGAGACATTTA